GGGGGGGGGGGGGGGGGGGGGGGGGGGGGGCGGCAGCGATGGCAGCAAGTTTCACCGAGAACCGTTCCCCGAAAGTTTCCGCGTCAGCTGGCTCGCGTAGCCAGAAGTTGCGATGCTTGGAAAAATATTTCTCGCCGACGCGAATGCATATTTTCCGCTGACTCGGTGACTTAATTAACGATTGTTTCGTCGTCGATTTCGTATGCGTGCCGGGGAACTTCGATATTTTTGCCAATGTCCCACGAGGATTTTTGTTTGATTTCCAATTACTGCGTGTACCGATTCGTTTGCTATTAGTACACGCGGATATTAGAGGGTGTATTCGTCTGTGTATAATACAATTTATACAGGGTGTTTCATAACATGCGGGACTCGCGTCTCCGTTTATGTGATATAATGAATTTAGTAAACAGAGCAGACTTTCCGAAAATAAAAAGAAATAAAATATTTTTATTGGAGGGAGAGAGAGAGAGAGAGAGAGAGAGAGATGAGCCGTTTATTTTGAAAGTGGCATAAGTCACTTTGTTTTTAAGTCGATATATTTAAGCGTTTGCGTTTTAACACGTTTAAAAATATGGATGCTAACTTTCGAGAAGATTTACTTGTATTTGTTATCTCAGGATACTGATATTTTTCATAGTATAAATAATTTCGTATAAACATTAAAAAATCACCACTTTTCATTACGGTAAAGTGACTTATTTGATTAGTCATTTGGTCCGGTTTAAAAAAAATTATATCATTTTAAGGGGCATCCTCCCACTTCGTGTCAGCATCGACAACCTCCACGAAAAAATTAGAGTCATTGAAATACTAGCTAAAATCGTAAGGGTTTTGTTGCGAAGTGTAGGAACCTCCATTATCGCAACTGAAAGAGAAAGGCGATGGATATGCAAGCGGACCTCTATTGTCCGAACCGCTCGGTTATCTGAAACGTCTTGTTCCCCGAACCGTTCGTATAAACGAAGTTCTATCGTACTCTTTTTTATACAATATATTGGGTTGGCAACTAAGTAATTGCCGATTCGTTCGATGAAATAACAAATTTTGTTTTACTTGGAACGAAGTTTAATCTGTAATGTATTTTCCATTTTGTTCGATGACCTTTTGCCATCTCTCCGACAACTTGAAAATTCCACGCTCGCAGAAAGTCTGATCCTTTTCGGCCAAAAACTGAGTTAAGTGAGATTTTACAGCGTCATCGTCGTTAAAAGTTTCACCACGAAGGGAGTTGTCCAGGGATCGAAATAAGTGGTGATCCGATGGCGCGAGATCAGGGCTATATGGTGGGTGTAACATCGATTCCCAAGCAATATCCATCAATTTTTGCCGAGTGGACAAAGACGTGTG